ACCCAGTGGTGAATTTTTCTTCTCATTTCCCTGTGCCTTAACCACCTGCTGTGCAGGCCCACACCTGTTCTAAAAGGAGGGGTGTTTTTCCTACACTGCAGGAGAATGCTATGAGCTGGATCTTCTAGGCTGGGCTTTTGATATTCTAATAGAAAGACTAGAAAACAGGACTAGAAAACAGTCTGGCTTCCAATAGTAGTATTTCCTGCCTGCTGTATGATCCTATATATTAGCAGAAGTGGAATGTTACCACATTTTTAAAATTCTTTCTGTAACAAATCCTAATCTCCCCCACACACAAATACCTTGGCGTGGCAGGGCAAACAGCATGTGTTCAGAAAAGCAAAAGAAAAACACACATTAATAATTTTCAAATGACCACTCTTATACACATTTAAGTATAATTATAATGGGCATATTTTTGTTTTATATTTTCAAGACTACAAGTAGTAAGTGACTACATCCTCATGGCAAAAACCACCCTGACCACTGTTTTATAATTTACTTTTGTCATTTCAAAACAGTCTTTGCCATTTTCCAGTGTACTTCAATTTCCCATTGTAATTCCCACTTAATTCAATATTCTACTAAAATATGCTTTTCATTCCCTGATTGGTGTTCCATTGTCCAATGTACTTTTGCACATTTAATCTTTAGCCAGTCTACTTTGTGAGATAGTTGTTTCCAACTGACTGGGGATGAACAGAGTTTGTACACATTTTGGGGTACTCTGGGGGAGTACCTCTGTCTAGAGGTGAAATGGTTGAGTTAAAAGAATACACATGGTTCTGGTTGCTGAGGGCCATTGCCAAATAGGAATGACACATCAAAATTTCCTTACCAGCGTACCCCATGTTAAATGGACTTGCCTTGGAAATTTGCTGTGACCTTGCATGTGTGTTTGAGAAAGGTGACCCTGCTCAAGGACCAGGTGGATCTTGGATTAGGGTGTATCCTGCAGGTTTTAGGAAGTATCCGGGTTTAAGATAATTTGGGTTTAAGGCTTTCCGGTTTAAGACAATGTGGTTTTAGGGAAGTTCCAGGTTTAAGTTTATTGCTGCTGGGAATAGGGCGTTCCTGCTGCCTGAGTTCCCGTGGAATTGAGAAAGTTTTGGGACGCGAATTGTGCAGGAGAACGCTGATTTCCCGAGAACGTGTGTAGAGGCCGGTGTGAGTTCGGGAATAAAGAATTGCTGTTTGAATCTACAAGGTGTGTGGTGCCTCCTGATCTTGTGCCCAGCCAAGACATTGGCATCTGGTAAAAGATGTTACAAATTACCTAAAGATCCTCAGAAAAGTCATAGTATTTTCTAGTTCCATGAGCATTGTTCTCACCACTCCCCATCATACAAGGCAGGAAGCTGAGAAGATGGAGAAGACTCTGGTCCCCCATGACCTTCTCCACYGCCACATTGTGAGACAAAGCAACCAACCGTGTCTGCTTTATGAAGGAGACTATAACCAGCAGACTACTTCAAGAGATGCTCAGAAGCTGATGCTTCACTTTTTTTTTTTTTGCTTCTGAATATCTTTTTCATTTATATCTCAATTGATATATAAAGCCAAACTGTCACATGATGGTTTAAACTTGTCAGATAAAGTCAAAGTCTCATTTCTTTAATAACTAACTGGAGAGTCCATGAGTCAACATGTAAAAAAGAAGGTGGTTGTAGAGGGGGGGGCAATAAAGGAAAACACCAGAATTACTTAAATGTTAGAAGAAGAAGATGATGATGATGAGCAAAATGTAATCAATAAAAATCAGCCACAGGAAGGAATTCAAAAGACTTACAGAAAAAAAAGAAAAAGGAGTTGTTAACATTTGTTGGGAGAAAAAAAAAAAATCCTAGCAATTTTTTCTACTTGGCTTCAAGTTCTCATCCTAGCAGAATGAACTCTTTCTTCCAGGAATTGGTGGCCAAATTCTCTCTAGGTGGAGCTTACAAGTGCTTCTATCTCTCCTGCAATCTGGGATCATGTGTGTCCATGATTCTCACAAGCCAAGAAAGTTAAAAAGAATAGGAATCAGCAGCAGGGGTCTCCAACTTTCCCTTTCCCCAAAGAAACACTTCATACATTGCTTGTCTTAGGCAGAGAAATCCCACAGAATTAGGTACCAGCAACAGTGACAAAGGATTCAGGAGTTCAACTACTACTCCATAAAATGTATTCAGTGTTTACTCGAGTGTGGCATATTAGAACACCAAAGTGTCTCCAAAATATGAACAGACCTTGCATAAAACATGTAATTCAAGAGTAATTTTCCTATTGCAATTCTGTATTTGTTCCTCATGAAAAAGGTGCTGGCTAAAAGCAGAAATTCTAGAAATACCTCATAGTTCAATTCTGATCCTCTTAGGAACAGAACTTAGATCTATTTGCTTAACCTCTCTGTGTCTCAGTTTACTCATCTGTAAGATGAAGATGATGACACACAATATTTCATTTGATTCTTCTAACAGTCCCAGAAGGTAACAACACTCCCTACTTCACTGAGTTGTTGTACTGACCAAGTGAATTAATGTGTGTAAAGTGTTCAGAACAGTGCTGGCACATGCATGCTTTGTGTTTGCTTATTAATTTTTATACTATCAGCTAAATTGGGGCTAATATGTAGCAACTGTATAAACAGTGTAAAATTTACTTGGCTCTGGGAGATTTTTATTAGTTCAAAATGTATGTAGTTAATGGGACTTCATTAATCTACACTGCATTATTTTAAACTTGCATAATGTAAATGAGTATGCACTATATAGGCTTTAAGTGCAATGGGTAATATTAAATTTCTTGTCCTTTAAACAGCAATTATTATTGATGAATATGTAAGGGCTCTGGTGGGTCAGATGACAGGCAGGCTTCAAGGCATGGGGAATATGAAGATGCCTGTCCAGGTTGACCCCATGAGAAACCAGTGATAATACTGTGTGTCAGGCACTACTCTATGGCTTTCAGATGTATTATCATATTCAATTCTTACCATAGCCCTACAAAGTAATGGTTATCAGAGCCCCATTTTACAGATGAAAAGACTGAGGCAAAAAACCTTAAGCAACTTGTCCAAGGTCACCCAGCTGGTAAGTGGTGGCATGGTATTTAAACTTTAGTATATTACCCAAAGAACTCAAGTGTAATTGTTTTATTACAATTCAGAAAGTTGTGAAGTATGCCAAGTTCCTCTTAGRTTCTTCTATTTTTTTCTCCCTTCAGGGCTTATTTATTTTGTAAATACAGCCCTATCAGCAGCTATTATGGCCATGGGTATTCTTAAAGCAGACAATTTGAAAATACAGAAAGATAGAAAGAGAAAAACTTCAAACATAATATTTTCACCCAAAGATGACCATTGTTTAAATTTGGGTGTATTTCCTTAATCTTTTCCTAAGCACATGGTTTTAAGTTTATTTTACATATGTGATAAAATTATATACACAATTTTAAATCTTTCTTTTCTCTCCTATCTCATGATATTAAAAACTTCATAAATTTCCTTAAAATAGACTTCATAATCTGCTGCATGGCAGTTCCAGAATATAGTTATCATTTCTCTCATGTTGGATGTTGGAGTTTTTCCAGTTTTTCTTTTTTTCCCCCACAGTGGAATGAATCTTTGTCTCCTTTTTTGATAGTTCTCCTTTTCTGACAGTCTTCAGATCCCCCTCGGCCATCCAACGATCCTGATAAAACACTATCCTTCCTGCAGTCAAAGTTTACTTTCTAGAAGGGAGCTTATCAAACTCATTCATACTAAAGTATACATGGTTGATAAAGCTTATCTTCTTTTTAATCCTGCTTTTATCAATCTAAGACAAGGGAATGAAGCTTGAATTGTTGGGTTATAGTCATCAAATAATGTAGTGAAAGATCTCTTCCCAACCCCCAACTAGAGAGTAGACTCCACATTGGCAAAAAGTTACAGGGCTCACCTTAATWTCAGTAAAGTTTATGAGAAGGCAGTTGAAAACTGAGGTGGTAATGTGCTAAAAGAGATGAAAAGAATTTAAGTGAGAGTTTTTAAAAAATGGGTAGAAGAATGAAAGATTTAGAAATTTCACTTAGCAGCACAAAGTATATTTGGCATCACTAACCTAATTTCTCCAGCTCTCGGGTTTGCCTTTCTAACGTGTTTGGCCTTAAGAGATGGGCCTGCCCACCTTCCTAGAACAGTTGGACGGGTTCTCAGCCCTAATTACCAAGCGCTGCTGAGGAGCAAGTCACCAGGAGCAGAAAGTAGAGTTGTGACAGGGATCATCATCTGCAGGTGCAGGGAACACTTCCAAGTCTGTGTCCACAAGCAAATACTGTTGAAGCCTCGCCTCTTAAGTCTCAAAATTCAAAGTAATAATCTCTGCGGGGGATTAGCGGCCCTGTGTGAAAGTTCCGGAAGCCTTGTTCTACTGCCAGTGCTCGCTTGCTCTTTCCTTTGCTCACCCAGAGGCTTCAGGTTTTCGAGGCGTCTGCCAAATCACATCCTGCATGGAAATCAAGAGGGACTCAAGGCATAACCAGTGTCCCCCAACTCAAAGCCTCTCCAAACTCTCAAGGGCAGCGCGTTCTCCCAGTGCCAGCAATGGGAAGGCTGGTGTGGAAAAAAAAAAAAAAAGAAGAGAGAAAGAGAGAGAGAGAGAAAGAGAGAGAGAGGGAGGGCGGGGCAGTGACTCCGCCCCCTCTGGATAAGGGGCCAAAGGAACCCTAAATTCCAAGACCTAACACAAGGGGGGGACGAGCTATAGCCACTCTAGCTGAAGGCCATGGGGCAGACCAGGTTCCTGGAGAAGCACCCCCAGTTCCAGCCGGTGCGCTGGGAGCCTTCCCACGCCTGCTCTGCGGGACCCCAGGCGCCCCACGCACGCACCCACCCGCCTCCCYGGGCCCGCCGCTCCTCCCTCCTTCTTCACTGGTTGGCCGGGTCGCTGCAGAGAGCGGCGGCAGCGGGAGGAGCCGGGCGCGCCAGCCACGCAAAACCACCGCTCTAGCTGGGTGGCGAGCAGGCTGCGCGATCCCAGGTGGCAGCGGTGACAGTGACAGCGGCAGCGGCAGCAGTCTGTGCGCTTCCTCTCCCAGGAGCACCCGCATCCCGCCTCCGCCGCGCCACTGAGCTGCCGGCGATCCCGGGAGCCCCGGCCCAMGCGCCCACGGCCGAGCCCCGCGCACAATAGCGGCGGTCGCAGCTGCGGCTCCGAACCTGGACGCCAGCCATGGGGAAGACGCCGAGGAAGGGATACGACTACAAGCGCTTCCTGAAGAATAACTGGTTGCTGCTCTCCACCGTGGCCGCGGTGGTGCTAGGTGAGCGGCGCGGCGGGTGGGCGATGCACGCACCCTCACGCGTGCCCAGAGCCCAGGCCGCGTGCGGGGTGTGCGAGTGCAAGGGTGGGCATGGCGCGGGCACAGACTCTGCCGGGGCCACCCGCTCCCCTTGGACCTTGGCCTTGGACCCCAGACCGCCGTTTTCCCCCAAGCGCGAAATTTATGCATGCGAAGAATAAAGCTACTCGGGGGACTCCGTTTTGGGTTGCTTTACCCAGAATGATCAAAGGGGATTTAAAGGTGCAAAGGGAAGCAAGTAGCTCTGTTTTCTGCCCCTTTGAAAGCAAGCGTGGCTTAATTTTTTTTTTTCCATCCTATCTGCCCCACCCCCCGCTTTTTTCCTCCCTGAACATTGTTATCCCACCAGTTACCGGAACGGATTACAGTTCTTTGTAGGACTAGAAGAGACACCTTAGCCTGCGGGCTGGCCTAGCCTCCAGGGGAGATTAGGAGTGTTGCCGCCCCTCACCCTGGGCGGTGCACGGAAAGGTACCTTCCAAGGGAGTGAGCGCCTGCTTTCTGCACCGGAGCTCTGTAGAACTGCCAGATGCATGCCTGAATTCAGGGGCGTGCAGTTGTGGCCCAAGGGAGATCACAGGGGAAAAGACAGAACTCGCGTAGCCCAGTCTTCCTGTGCTACCTTGCTCTCCACATTTTCTAATAAAAATAATGTTAAGCCAGTTTTACTTGTTTTTAAACATTTAAACTAGGGTGTATTTAAGTGATTCACTCCGGACAGATCACTGGACTAGGTTGTTGTCGGAGCTCGGAGGTACGGGTTATTCGTATTTTAGATCCTTAATTTCTGCCAAGGTCGTCTCTTTTCTCAGTTGGGCCCAGGGATACCCTTCTTTGAGCTTGCACAGGTGGAGAAATCCAGCCAGGTGAGGGCTGGTGCACCCTCTGGAGAAAGTGGATTCCTTGACAGGCTCCACCCTCTGCTTGGAAACCTGCTGCCTTTAATAGAAAGGCAGGTGGGGTGGGGCAGCCAGTCTCCTTTCTAACCTCATGCACCTTCCTCTGGGTCTGCTGCTTCTAAATCTGAGTGTTTGGTGCTGCCTACCGCCTTCCAAAATCCTCCCCATCAAAAAACAGCAACAACAGAGAAAAACCTCTGGAATGGGATACTTGGGGTCAGACAGGCTCCTCCTGAACCTTGTGCAAAGGAAAGTCATGTTTCTGGTAAATAAATAATATCCTGGAATTGCCTTAGCAGAGAACATCTATGGGAGGAAAGAAGACAAGTGTTGACTTCTTACCTCTAGAAATTGCCAAGTGACTTTGGGCATTTTTAGAGACAGGTTTGTCCTGCCCTACCACATGTAAATAGCAATTCCCTTCGGCCAAATAGAAGAGATGGCCATGTTTGTTTTCCTAGTAAATAATTGGAATTATTAAATGCCTTTATAAAGACTTTGGGGATAACCCTAGTCAGTGTCTCCCTCCMAGTCCCTGTGCAAGTGCAGTGTAATGCTGCCTTTTCAGCCCTGAGCTCTCCAGACACTCATTTGTTAACCAAGTGGTCACCACAGCCACTCACTAGAGGCCAGTTTGAAAGATTTTGAGTAGTTGCTCCCTGACCTTTGGACCCAGTTGCATATCTTCAGTGTCAAGAGTGATTTCGTGTCCATTTGCAGTTGTCTTTTGGTATCAGGTGGACCTTTCTCCATAAAGACAATTCACCATTTAAAAATTGTACGYGCCTGGCTAAAGTATGGTTGGACATTTGCTCCTCTAGACTGCAACCCTGGAAAGTCCCTCCACAAGTTTCTGCTTCTGATCTGAGAAGTCTCAAGTTTAAACCATCCCCACCCAAGCACTTCCTGGGTTCCTCCTCTTYTCCTTCTTTTTGGAATGCACTGGGCCTGAGTGAAAAATCATACCTCTTTTTGTGTGATTAATACCAGCTCACTTSCTTAACAAGCAGTGAAATTCTAGCCACTTGACAACAGTGGCACTGAGTATCCATTAGCCCTTTGCTAGGTTATGATACTAAGAGTTTATAACTGCCTTAATTGATTCAGAAGAATCACAGAACTCTTCTGCAACTGCCTTTTCTGGATTTTTCTTCTTAAAAAAGAAAAAAACTCTCAAATTTATTAACTACCCTGTTGAAATATCATCTTATTACAGTCATTGAAATGTTTGGTTCTTGCTGTATATAGATCAGCAGCCCTGACTTTATAAAATATTTCAGTTATTGAAATAAAGGGCAAAGACTCTTTATGAGCCTGTTTAAAGTCTAGTTTTCCAAGATACAACATATAAGAGGAAATGCAATTAAAGATCATCTTATTAAATGAGAAATTAACTCTTTTCATGGGCAAGAAGATGCTATGAACTAAACATTTCTCAAATTCGTATTCACAAAGTGAAGGAATTAAATAGTAAGGTAACCACCTTTATTAATTTCTGTGAAATCCTACAGGATCCTGAAAATAATATCTTGGATTTTCACATGAAAAGCCTTTCCTAAAATGCCATGAGGATCATTTCCATTGCTTCTATTATAATTCTTATAGGCTTTTCCCTGCTTCTCTAGTAAAAGAGAATCAGCACAGAGCTTGGAGCTAGGCCTGGGCTTGAATTCTGGTACTGTCAAGTTCTACCATCTAGAAAAATTGCTTACTTTCTGGGACCCTCAGTTGCCTTATCTGGAAAATGGGGATATGTTATTAGGGTTAAGATAATGTAAAAATACCCAGTTTCGTGGCTAGTATATGATAGGCACTCAATAAATGTTATTTCAAGGTAAATCTGAATGATTTGATGATGAGAAAATTAATATTTTCTTATGAAATAAAGTCTCCCAAGCCATGTCACTGTCTTCTTTCCTCTTAGTGTTCAGCCTATAATTTGGAACTCTAAACCAATACCTCTGTAACATTATTCCTTTCTTAAGGGAACTGGAAAGAATTAATCATTTTGCTTTGTGCCCTGCAGCTTGATCCTCAATTCCTTTAACAAGCAGAAATTAAGAAGGAAGAGGTTTTGTGTTGTAAGTGGGAATGCTGTCCAAGCAGAATTACCGAGTGAGAGAATTCTGTGAGCACTCTGATCCCAGTTACCCCCAAAGCAATGATATCACATGAGGTGTTGGTAGGCTATTGTGTTRCCCTTTAACCACCTCGCAGTATAAAGCCTCATCTTCCTTTCCAGACTGGTTAAGTGTGATTTCACTCATTTGAAAAAAATCTGTGATTTCCAGCTTAGGAATCTTGGGAGGAAGCAATAGGTATTGTTTACACAATGGCGCAAGAAGGTCTACTGTTGTAAATCATTTCCTTTGGAGCCCTGAGGAAGCAATCATTGATAGATTGCAATTTTCCATGGTCTAAAATTAAAAACAATTCCCTCACATTCTTAGTAATACCCTTGCCTCACATCTCCTCCGCAGGAGTTTTCATGACATATACCTGGCGGTGTTCATTTGAGACTTGGTATTTGCTTTCTTTTGTCTGATTTTATGTGTGTCTGTGAAGTCCCTGAGGACAGGGCCAGCGTAACTCATGCTGGTTTCAGGACCAGACCCTCACATCACAGAGCCTCGGCTCAGCAGGGTTGAGGAACCAACACTTACATCATTTGCTCAACAAATATGTAATGGGTATCCACTGTGTGCAGGGTCTGTTTTTAAAGCCGGATCACACAGCAACTGTCAAAATTCCCTGCCCTTGTAGCACTTATGTCCCAGTAGAGAGAGGTAGAGGGTAAACAGTAAGTTGGCAAAATACAACATAGAGTATGTGAGATGGTGATAGTGATCTAGAGCAACATAAAGCCAGGTAAGTGGTTAGGGAAGGTAGGGGCTACAATTTTAATAAGGTGACAGGGAAGGCCATACTGAGGGTGATGGTTGAATCAAGGCTGAAAAGAGGTGAAGGAACAAGTTTTCACAGATATCTGGGAAATACCACAACTCTGTCATTAAACAGCAAGGAAAGGAGTGAGGTGAGCAGAGAGTGGAAGGAGATGATGTGGAGGTGAGAAGGGGACGGACCAAATGGTAGCTAGTGTAAGATCCAGAGATGTTATTTTTTATTTTGTTTCACTTTTAGGAGACTTGATCCTGATTTAACCTGGGGAGAAACAATCATTACAAGTAAAGATACAGGGACTAGGGTTGTTGACTCAGTGATAGAGCCTTTGCTTAGCATGTGTGAGGCACTGGGTTCAATTTTCAGCACCACATATAAATAAATAAATTAATGACCATCAACGACTAATAAAAACGTTAAAAAAAGAGATAAAGATACAGACAGAGAAGGATGAATGATGGGTGATGAGGCCCAGGAGAACAAAAGACACTCATCTGTGGGTGGAGTGGTCTGGTGAGGGCTTATCCTGGGCAGGGATGGGCTTCCACACTCCCAAGATGGAAGGTGAAGAGTTAAGGTTGTATTCATTTCCTGTGACTACTGTAAGAGCTGTAAACAGGGTGGCTGAAAACAACAGAAATTTATTCTCACCAAGTTCTGGAGGCCAGAAGTCTGGAATCTGGAAAGGCCACACTCTCTCTGAGAGTTCTAGGGGGCGTATCTGCTTTTGGACTCTTCCACCTTCTGGTGGCAGTCCCAGCATTCCTGAGCTGGTGGCCATACCTCCTTTTCACACCACTTTCTTCTGTGTTTGTGTGTGTGTGGTCTCCCACTAGCTCTGTCTTCTGTGATGGCCTTTTTGAGCTTGCTTGGAAAATTCTCCTTTGAAGATCCTTAACTAAATCACATCTTGCCATATGAGATAATACTCACTCTTCTGCCACACAGGCTACTATTCACAGGTTCCAGAGACTAGGGCATGGGCCTGTTTGTATGGAGACCACCAGTCCAACCCCTACAATAGTTAATCTTTGAAACTGCTGTTAAAGTGACCTTTCTCTAAGAAGTAAGACTGGATCATAGTGCTCCAGGGCTTAAAACAGTGCAGAACTGCCCACTGCCCTCAGGGTGGAGAGGATGTCCTTTTTAGCTTGACATCCA